GAGATTACAGATTTCTAGATCCTACCGATCGTCGAATAGCCGTTAACCGTATCACAGGGCTATTTTTCAAAAACGTCATCCGTGGGATTCGAACTCTAGACCTGCCGTCTGGGGGTGTGACAACTCCACCATTTCACTAAGTCGCCACACCCTTGATGTAACATTTAACACATTTTAAACATTTAATTCTTGTATGATAATTAGGATCGTTCACGGATTACTATTATATTAGCATGCAATGCAAGTGAAACAGAAAAATTAAAACCATTAGTAATTGGGTCTTCAATTTCTCCTCGTGTGCTTCAAAATGTTAATTATGATTCATTACCTGTTCTTTACCATGCAAATTTGCGAGCATGGATGCGAAATGACATATTTTCTGAGTGGTTAATAAATTTGGATCATAGGTTTCGCATTCAGAATCGCCAAGTCTTGTTAATAGTAGATAATGCCTCATCACATTTTCATAACCAATCTAATACTTGTGAATTAAATGAACCAATTGAATCAAATTCTGATTTAGATAAAGAAACATCTAATGATTCAGAACTTGAGGTGACAGCTGTTTTACGCAAAAATCATTGAGGTCAACCAAGATTAACCAGAGCCAATCAGGGTGCAAGTACTAGCCATGGTAATCATGGTAAATGTGGTAAACATAGTACTGGTGGGAGTAAGGGCCATTATAGTAGTGGTTATAGTTAACCACGTAATATTTCTGATTATTCAAATGTACGATTAACTAATATTAATCTTGAATTTTTACCCCCAAATACCACTGCTCATCTTCAACCCATGAACGTGGGTATTATCAAAAGTTTCAAATCCAAATATAAGCAAAAATATATTCATCACATACTAATACAGCTTGAAAACAATGAAGATTTAAAAAAGTTAAGAACTTACCCTGGTAAAATTTAAAAATTCACCGTGTTGAATGACATGATTCGAATGGCTCTCACTCTGCTATCCAAACTACCATTCAACACTACCACATGATTTCACAGACATGTGTGTCAGTAAAATCATGTGATAGTGTTAAATGGTTCGAATAGCAGTTTGAGTGGTATTTGAATTATGCCATTCAACATGGTGAATTTTTAAATTTTACCAATGTTATCCTTTAGTTATATAATAATTTTTAATACTAATTGTATTTCAATTTTAATTAGAAAAAAATTAGCTATTAAGGATGCTATTTACTACGTATTTGAGTCTTGGGATGCTGTTGAAGATACAGTAATCGTTAATTGTTGGATGAAGACCAGAATTTTGGTATCAGTTCCTGGCAAAGAAATCGAAGTTGCTACCAATAATCAGGATGTGCTGTTAGAACAGCAAGAAGAGGATGTCAACAAATTGGTAATATATTTAACCTCTCAGGATCTGGACCCAGAAATAGAAAGCCAATTAAATACATATTTAGGCCTCAATGATTTGCATATCATAACTGAAGAAAAGCTTAAGGATTCAGAGATTATTGAAATTGTTTTAGATGAAGCAAATCAATGTGATAATGGAGATTCTGAAGACTCGGACGAAGAACAACCAGAAATTCCTATTTCAGAAGGGCTAATAGGTTTAAATAAATTTATTGGCTACTTTGAACAACAAATTGATGAAGAGTTTAAAGCCGAAGACCTTAAAATTTTTCAAAAATACTTAGCTCTGGTAAACAGAAAATATGTTGCGTCTAAGCGCCAAACATCTATTAATGATTTTTTACACCATTAAATAATGAGGAAGGTTATGATACTGCGTAGTGATGGAGATTTTTTTTGTCTTTTATATATACATTTTATAGTATGCATATATTTTATCAATATTTTAGTTATTCTCATTAATATTAAGAGAAAAAATTGCGTGATAATTAGATATATAGTCCTCAATATAAATATTCAGAAAACATTTTCAAGAATTAAAAGTATTCGGTGTGTTAAAATGCTTTTGGTGAGTCTATCATTCTGAAAGTGAACATCCCGATTATAAAGTTGTTCAATTTTAGGCATCAATATTATAAAGCGAATTTGTATTAGCCTAATAAAGCAATTGAACAAATAAAATAGCAGTCTTTTGTGGTTATCAAATCGTTGTAACTGACCTATCAAAGGAAGAGGGTAAAGTACTACATTAAATTTAAGTGAGAAACGATTAGAAATAGTGGTTGTGTCGTCATTGAGATCCATGTGAAACTTTGAAAATGTACAGATAGTTTTTATAGACAGTATCACGACCAGAGGTATGTAATTTATTAGTGTCACTTAAATGAACTGTCTTAGCATGATTCGAATTCCGGAGTAACATATTCTAATATTCATGATCAAGTTAAGAGTCATAGTTGAAACTAGCGATGTTGCTAGTACTCCACAAAATCAATCAAATATTTGAAATTATTTGATCAAATTAATTAAAAATTTGATCAAATAATTTTAAATATTTGATTCAAATTCAAAATTTGATTTGATTTGATTTTGCGGAGTATTAAATGTTGCCCAAACTATTTGGGACGATCCAAACTACGTTATTAATAATGTCACAATAGGTATTTACTGTTGCTGAAACCATGTGATACTATTCATCACATGGTTTGGAACGTCCCAAATGGTTTGGGTAGTTGAAACCTTGATGCATGTATCAAGGGACGGAAGACCATATAACACCTAAAGTCTAGGTGAACCAACCCTTCCAGGTTGCCAGCTGGAAGTAAGAGAGACCGATAAAGAATCCGGGGAAGAAGGAAAGTTCAAATGTGGGTGCTGGGGTTGTGCGAACCCAAAACAAGGGCAGGAGTACGTAACAACCACTAAAATAGTAAGGTTGTGGTTTGAGATACAGATCGGGTTACGGCAGTATCCTAAAAGATAGCTTGAGACACGAACCCGGTAGCGGCAACACAACAGGTACTAGATTAGAAAGGTGTTACCGAACATGCAGGTGAATACATGTGTAGGACATGTACCGCTCTGTTAGGTTTACCTCGTGGATAGACTAGCCAATGCTAGTAAGTCCTAAGGTAGGGTGCGAAA